CTGATGGTGAATTGATCTCCTCGGTCATCTGTTCTCTTCAGAGTGCAGCCTGGCCTTCTGGTCTTCTTTGGAATCATGGCATCTCTTTGTCTTCCCAATTCCACCAAGAGCTCCAGGACCATATATATGAGCCTGAAAGTCCTTTCTGCCCTGGTATTCCATTTCCCTTGTTTACAATTGCAGCAGTTATATTCAGAAACAGCTCCCTGACATCTAGTGCAGCTTCTCTTTAAGGTCCAAAGGCTGACGAAACCACATGCCATAGACACACATTCTTTGATGCCCTGTTGAACACTGAGGCAGATGACAGTCAAATAAGTGAGGTGGGAGCATGTAATTTGCGTTCTTCCTACCTTAACTTCAACATTGCGTATCTTAACTTTAGTGCCTAAAGAATGACAAGAACCAATTTTTAGCCCTAGGACTTTCATGAGTCTTAGGTGACTATTTGTTTCATTCACCATGTTGAAACACTCATTCTGAAAAAAAACTTCGGATTGCATTTTATTCCAGGTGACATGCGTTGGGCAAACCTTCTGGGGTAAGTCACTTCTGTTCCATTTTATGATAGTTAACATGAAACAGAAATTTGTTTGCCTGATAAATTAACTAGAATTATATGTTTGTATCCTCATTAACCACTGGAGACGTCCCGGAGCACACTAGTGAGTAGCTAATGTTATTCCTCTGTTCAAGAAGGGAAATAGGGACAATCCAGGAAACTAGAGACCATGAGTCTCACATCGATGGTTGAAAACTATTGGTGAGAATTCTTAGGGATAGGATTTACGCGCATTTGGGAAAGCATAGCCTAATTAGAGACAGTCAGTATGGCTTTGTGCAGGGCAGGTCATGTCTTACTAAATGGATTGAATTTTTCGAGGAGGTGACGAAGGTGATCGATGAGGCTAGAGCAGTGGATGTCATCTACATGGATTTTAGTAAGGTTTTCAACAAAGTCCCTCATGGTAGGCTCATTCAGAAGATTAAGATGCATGGGATCCACGGTGAGTTGGCCCGTGTACATTCAGAATTGGCTTGCCCATAGAAGGCAGAGGGTAGTGGTGGAAAGGTGTTTTTCAGGCTGGTGGTCTGTGACTAGTGGTGTACCGCAGGGATCCGTACTGGGATCTCTGCTGTTTGTGATATGGATAAATGCCTTGGATGAAAATGTAGGTGGGTGGGTTAGTAAGTTTACAGACGATACGAAGATCAGTTGAGTTGTGGATAATGTAGAAGGTTGTCAAAGGATACAGCGGGATATAGATCAGTTGCATATATGGGCGGAGAATTGGCAGATGGAGTTTAATCTGGGTAAGTGTGAGGGGCTGCACTTTGGGAGATCAAATATTAAGAAAAAGTATACAGTTAATGGCAGGACCCTGAACAACATTGACGTACAGAGGGATCTTGGGGTTCAAGTCCATAGCTCCATGAAAATGGCCACGCAAGTAAATAGGGTGATAAAGAAGGCATATGGCATGCTTGCCTTTATTGGTCAGGGAGTTAAGGACAAGAGTTGGGATGTCACATTGCACCTTCATAAGACTTTGGGTAGGCCACACTTAGAATATTGCATTCAATTCTGGTCACCACATTACAAGAAGGACGTGGAGGCTTTGGAGAGGGTGCAGAAGGGGTTTATCAGGATTCTGCCTGGATAAGAGGGTATGAGCTATAAGGAGAGGCTAGTAAAACTTGGGTTGTTTTCTCTTGAGCGGTGGAGGCTGAGGGGAGACTTGATAGAAGTCTATAAAATTATGAGATGCATAGATAGGGTTGATGGTCAGAATCTTTTTCCCAGAGTTGGAGATGTCAAAATCTATAGGCATGCATTTAAGGTGAGAGGTGGAAAGCTCAAGGGAGATGTGAGGGCAGTTTTTTTACACAGAGCGTGGTAGGAATGTGGAACGCGCTGCCAGAGTTGGTGGTGGAACCAGATACGATAAGGGTGTTTAACAGTCTTTTAGATAAGCACATGAATATGTAAGGAATGGAGAGATATGGACCAAGGAGGCAGAAGGGATTAGTTTAATTTGGCATCTTGCTCAGCACAACATCATGGGCCGAAGGACCCGTTCCTGTGCTGTATTGTTCTATGTTCTGTGCTCTATGTTTTCCATTGTTAATTTTTTTTAAAAAAGGTAGCAATTGTGAATAAGATTTTGATAAAGTATTATTTGAAGACGGAGTATGGCTGGTTTTCAATGTGTTAAAACAGTTTTTGTATCCAGCAACTGAAATTTCACAACATTTTTGCCAATGGCCTGGGATTATGTGATTTATTTTCTCGTCATTTTAAATCAACAGATTCCTAGCCATATGTAAATCAGTATCTCCTCATTTTAAACCATCAGAATCTATCAAAATTCAGCTGAAAAATATCTTTAACATGAACTTTGATTAAGGTTTGATTTTTTAAATATAGAACAGGATGTACGTTAGACATTAAATAATTTAAGCCATAAGCACAGGGGCTGCTATTTTCTTTCATTGTGTCTGTAAATTAGTGCTCATCCCCTGATTCCCCAAATTATATCCACCATCTACAAGGCTCAAGTCAGGAATGTGTTGGAATATTCCTCACTTGCCTGGATGAGTACAACTCCAACAAGCCTCAATAAGTTTGACTCTATCCAGGACAAAGCAACCAGCTTGATTGGCACTACATTCACAATCATTCACTTCCTCCACACCAACATCTTAGCAGCAGTAGTGTATACAATTTGCAAGATGCACTGCAGAAATTTATCTACAATCCTTAGACAGTACCTTTCAAACCACAACCGTTTCCAAGGCAGCAGGTACATGGGAACACCACCAGCTTCAAATTTCCCTCCAAGCTACTCACCAACCTGACTTGGAAATATATCGCCATTCCTTCAGTGTTGCTGGGTCAAATTCCTGGAACTCCCTCCCCAGTGGCATTGTGGGTATACCTAAAACACATGGACTACAGTGATTCAAGGGCACTTAAGGACAGAGAATAAATGCTGGCCCAGCTAGTGATACTCATATCCTACAAGTGGGGTATGATTTGAACTGGAACTTGTTGGTGGTGTTATAACTATTGTTGGCCTCGTCATTCTAGATGCTAGAGTTTGCAGGTGTGACCGGTGGTGCTGGAAGAGCCTGAGGATTTGCTGCAGTCCACTCTCTATATTGCACTGCTGTCAGTGAGCCAGCGGTTGAAGGAGTAAATATTTAAGATGGTGAAAGGAGTGCTGATCAAGTGGCTTCTTGTTTCTTGGATGGTGTCAAGCTTCTTAAGTTTGTTGAAGCTGCACACAGTCAGGCAAGTGGAAAGTACTCCATGACACATTTGACTTGTGTTTTGTCGAGTGTGGTCAGATTTTGAGGAGGCAGGAGATGAGTTACTCACTGCAGCATGCCCAGGTCTGATCTGCTCTTGTAGCCAAAGTATTATTGTGACTGGGGTTCAGTTTGGTTTATGATGTTAGTAGGGGATTCAATGATGGCAATACAATTGAATTGCAAGGGGAAATGCTTTTATTCTCACTTGTTGGCAATTGTCATTGCTGGGATACAAATGACACCAATGTTACTTGAAGTGATCAAAGAGCTACACTGCCATAGATAACTACATGTTTTACTGTTCTACCTTCTATGAGGAAGATAATGTGAATGTATGGTCTGGGAAGGGGTGATGGGAATAGAGGAACAAGTATTTTGAAAATTCATATTGCTTTATGAAATTCTATACTTTTGGTTTGGGGCAATTGATTTTTTTTTTAAAAAATGGTTCATATAGCCCAGTCACATGTATCTTTGAGCTTAATCACACTGTCAGACACTGTTAAACTGTAAAAGTTTTTGTGTCAGCCTTAGCCAACATGGTAAAAAACTCATAGAGCAAACATCACTGCAGGATTGCTTTTGACAGCTTTCACTCATCAAATAAATAGGTTCTGAGGTATTTTATTACTGAATAATGTATTTTGTGACAAAGTAACAGTCGGGTATTGTATAGAAATGGCCTGCATTAACTCATTTAATGCTGTAAAGTCAAATTGTTAGAGCTGGAAAATGAAAGAGTTATCAAAGATTAAGTTATTTGTCATCTATTGTAACAACTATGTTAACATCAGTTATATAAAATAACAACTTAGATTGTCTGATAACTCGTTATTATTTTCATTAATAGAATCAAAGTTGTTATTTTATGATGTTTTGAATGCTGATGAGAATAGAAAATAATAACAAATTCTGGAGTCTGAAAGAAAAATGGAAATTGCTAGAATCTGTGGCATTTGTAAAAAGAAAGTATACAAGCTCTCATTTTCAATATGTACCTTCATTAAAACTGAACCCTAAATGATGGGGAAGCAAATTCATAAGGCTGGAAAACACAGAAGACAAAACAAAGAAAGGGTGGAACAATGGACAGTCAGATGACTAAGAAGAGTTTGTCATTCAGGTGGATGACATTATTTAACTCAATGGTGATCAGTGATGCCGTTGTTTTCTAATGGACTGTGTTTGTATCAAATTACACATTAAGGTATCACATTAAATATATCTGTTGCTAAAAGTAAAATTAAAGGGGCCACATTTTCACATTTACTGAAGTACACAACTCAAGCGTACACATCCTCTGCAGTATAGATCAACAAAGATGCACGGAAACCTATGCACTCTGCTTGAATTCTGCAATTTCAACATATCCTACCACATTAACACACTTTATTTTTCAAAGTGGTAATATTTGCTTTTGTTCCAGCTAAAGATATAACCAAGTAAATATTCTACCCAATCACAAAATGCTTTTGCTATTGGCGTGCCTTTTTAGATCATTACTTTTATATATTTACAAATATAACATGTATTTGTAAGAATTGAAGTTTTAACTGCAGAAGATCTGATTAAGAAACTGATAAGCAATTCTGAAACAAATTCAAACAAGAATTTGGAGCTTATTACGACACTTAAAAGTTTGGGACTGCATTGACTTAAGTGGTTGGCAGCTTTACAGGTAACACAACTGGGTTCTGGATGCTTTTGGCAGGTGAGAACTGAATAATACGCTTATGAAAACAGAAGAACATTTTCAACTATTTACACCATATACAGAAGCTTCGTTGAGCAGGATGTCACTAGAACCTTCTTACTCAGTCCCAGTTACATGTGAACTGACATTGTTTGACATATGACATAATAGCTATTAGCATAAAGCTGTTAAATCTCAGCTACTATACCTCACCTAAGTCTTTCACTATACTTGCCATGGCAACAGATCAGAACCCGAAAGTACCGTGGACAATAATAATTTTTAAACTTCTAAGTGTATTATTTAAAAGAAGTCTTCTACAGATGCAAATTAATAACTGTCTGCTAATTCCTGTGTGAGACCTAAGGAATATTGCACTTGTCAGGGAAACTTCAAACTGAATGAGAAATGTAACAGGAAGAAATAATGAAAGAGCTGACTGTCTCATCTCTTGCAGAATTTATGTGTTTTTAGCCTTCCAGGGATACACAAATAAAGAGGTTAAAAACCAACTGCAACACTTGTTCATGTGTTAATGGCCTGATAATGTAATTTGTGGAGTAGTGTGCTGTGAGGATCACATCTCTGAGTGCAGTCATTTAAACATCCCGACATTGCAGGTAAAGCAAAAAAAAACCTCTGAGTTTAAGTCACTGCCAAAAGAATCAGAACAGAAGATCTTCAAACAACACACAAAATCAAGAATCTCAAAATTGGCTGTTCAACTACAGACGTTAATGCTACAGTGACATCCACTGCAAAGACCATAATAATCAACTATCTGCTCTTTATGCCAAATTTGACACTAATGTGTATGCATTATTTTATTCACTTGGATTCACCTCTTATTTCAAATCTGTATATTTGTGCGTTGTGTTACTTTTTTCTCCTTGTGATTAGTAATTAATAAACTCTCTTTTGTATTTCAAGGAAGTGTGGTTAAATTGGTTCCTTTTAAAAGATAAATTCATTTGGATTTGGGAGAAATTGAAATTCTGGATAAAGAAATTTCTGCTCATCTCAACCCAAAATAGCTTACCTGAGCTTACTTTACCCTGGGACCAAGATCTTTTGTTCCCTACATCCAGGGAAAACATCATCCCTGCATCCAATCTTTCCAGTCCTGTCAGAATTTTATATATTTCTCATTCCTCTAAAATATAGTTACGTATATTCCATTGAGCTCTCTATTTATAAGAAATGTGGCCTTATTCAAAGCAATGTATATTCATGTCATTCAGTAAGTAAATTGTTTGAGTGCATTCTTTGTATAACCCATTGCTGTCAATCTAGCTCAGGGTTGGATTTTTGATGTGACTATTCTGGCCTGATCCTGACTTTGAATGTGTATAATAAATTCAAGACCTTTCTTTCTTCCTTTCCACAGTCTCTCAGCACCACCTCAAAAGTCTCTTCCTTCATTATTCCAAAGGATGTTTTAAGCTTCCTGCATTTTTCTAAGCAGCAGAATTTCAGCTGAAAATTGAAGCTTTTCTATCTTAGAAAGGTTTAATCTTGCTCAGTGTATCAAAACTTTACTGTAATGGATCTGGTTATGTACCCATTGAATCTATACATGCATGATTGCTCTAACAATCACTTTCTTGGATCCTATCATAATTCTGTTGCATTTGCCACAGAAAGGTTTACTTGAGGACATAGATGGATTTGCAAAAAGTCAGCTCAATAATAAGGAACTTAACTGTGGAAATCCCCGGTAACTCTTTCCTTATCAAAGCATTCGACTACCAGAGTGGTATGAAATCTCTATGCAGAAGAAACTGTGCTTTTGTCTGCATCCTTGCTGAGATTTGGCAATGTCTGGATCTATATTGAAATGTTCCTAACATCATATAACTTGAATCAAAACCAAGGAGAACTGTTGTAATGCCATCAATCATCTTTTTAAGTATTCTTCCATTATCCTTCTTTTAGAAGATTATTTAAATCTGCTCCCCTCTTAGTCATGGCAACTGTTAAATTATAATTGTCTAAATTCATTAAATGTATTCTTCTCCCTGCTGTGACTATTCAGATATTTATTCTCAAAGGAGCAGCTTGACCGTAATGAATGCAAACCTCACAGTGTAATACATTTGATAGTAATCTGTCGAGATAAGAAAACATTTTGAAAAATGGCAAAGAAAAGTCCTGATCCCATCAGCACTCAGTTCAGAATGCCTGCCTCCTAGCTGTACTGAAGACTTGGACACAACAGCTAATGTTACACTCTGTATGAATCACAGTAACATTGGCTGCATTCAGAGACCACAACCTGAAGCTACAATTTCTGTCATTTTCGGGGATAACAATTGAGCTAAGTCTCTTAATGCAGATGCTATTCTGAAACTACAGAACTTCTATCAGTATGACTCAATCAGAATATTCATTCAATTAAGTATTGAACATACTGAGGTAGTGCCACATGATTTTCTCTCATATCCATTTTCTAATTGACACTACCATGGCTTAGAGCTTCAAGGATTGTTTTGCCTGCCCAGTGCCAGGGTTAATGGCATCTTGTGGATGGGGAGAAATGTGGAGTGGGAAAAGAAAGATGCAGTTGGCATGGTCCACGTGGGAACCAACGACATTGGTAGAAATAGGAAGGATGTGTGCTTAAGAGAGCTAAAATGCAGATTAGTAAAAGCACTGTAATCATCTCTGAATTGTTACATGAGCGACATCCAATTGAGTGTAATGTCGGTGGATTAAATGCCTGTCTCAAATGTGTGGTGTGGGAAGGAAGTGTGGGTTTCGAGTCATAAGGTACTGGCATCAGCACATGTGGAAGATATAGCTATTCCATTTGGATTGGTTTTATCTATAATGGACCAGGACTAGAATTCTGACCAACCATGTAACTAGACCTGGGAGCTATAAACTAACAAATTGGGAGAGGAAGGGTTCAGATGAAGGGAGATCTAGAAATGCAAACAGAAGGGTTGAAGTAACAGAGCAAATGTGACAGAAAGGAACAGAGGGTCGAACATAGATTGGACAGAATGTGATCGTTGCAGGGAATAGAAGTAAAAAAATTAAATTAAGGCTTTTTCTTTGTTTGAATGCACAAAGTGTCTGCAATGAGATGAATGATCTTGTGGCACAAAGAGAGAGAGAGATGGTTCCAATCTAATTACCCATGTCCGAGGCAGGGTTACAAGATGACCAAGGTTTGGAAAGAAATGTTAGAGGAGCACACACAATATCTAAAAAGACAGACAGAATGGCAAGGTAGCCCTTTTAGTAAACAATAGCATTGGACATTATAAGAAAAAAATCTGGCTTCAGAAGATAATGAAGTAGAATCTGTCTGGGTAGAAAGTTAGGAATAGCAAGAGCTAGAAAATGCTAATTGTTTATAGGAGTGGTTTATAGACTATGTTAGTAACTGGTTAGGGGCTAGTTCTCGGTCGAGTCAAAGGACGGCTGTGTCTGTCAGTGAGTCTGGTACCATCAGTCACAGGCTTAGATCACACACAATCCAGGGGCTTGGACATGGTCAGTCATTCTCTCAGGCTAGGCACAGTCAGGCCTATTGCAGTACAGGGGAGTTGCAAACACACTAGCTAGGGTCTGGTCTGTCATGGCTGGGGGCTGCTCATTAAAACCCATCAGAGGCCTGGTGTAAATACAGTGCTTGGGTCTGTCCATCGATCATTTGCGAGGGTGAAAGTAGAAGCAACAGGTGAGAGGGAGGAGTTCATTGCCAAAAGGTATAGGGCAGTCAAGCTTTGGGGATGGGGAAGGAGGGGCCTTTGTAGTGTTGAAGACAAGGATGGTGACAGGGGAACCTCAAGGTGACAGGAGGAATGGGTAGGCAGAACTGCATCAGAGGGTGTGTTGGCAATGGGAGGGGAATTATGGCAGTGACTACTAGTGTGGCCTCCACAAGGGAATGTGGAGGGTCAGGGTGGTCATATTAAGTTGTATTATTGGGGTTCAGAAGGCAGGGAGGACATTTGGAGGCAAATTTTGATGTTATGAGTCTCTCCATTGGGCGGGGGAAGGGGCAGATGGGTGTAGAGTGAACTAAAAATGGACATGGAAGCTCAGGTGAAGAGGGTACCTGGGACCAGGCAGAGGACAGTTGTGATGGTGCCCACTGTGAGCTTCGTTCCCTGACATCACAGGCTATTCTCTACATGTGAAATGGAAACTGTCTGGGACAACACCCAGGGTGGGTGGAGTCAGGATCAGTTTGAAGGGTAAAAGCATAGGGTCCATATCTGCTGGACGCCAGGACAATGAAGGGGCAAAGTACCTGACCTATGCACTTGTAAACTACAATTACATCCGTAACCATTTCATTGCCCATTTGTGCAGTGAATGTGTTTGAGAGTTCAAATGAAGGTCAGCAGTGATTTGAACCATGTTCATTGTTCCTTGCAAATTCAATGTTGACATCTCAATGATGGTGAAGATAGTAGCAATGATTTAAGAAAGAGATGAACACCGGACAAAAGCAGCCCATAATTTATACAATGCCAGTGCTGCTGTAGGAGACAAAGACCATCACTTCATCATCTGTCATATAAGTTTAACAATGCTCTGTACTGAATACAACGGAAAGTTGAATGATTGAAGGGTGTCTAGGATGGGAAGGGGGTCAGAGCACAGCAGACACTCCCTTTCAGATGTAATGTACAGGTCCCTCAGCTGGTGCCACACCTTCCCCAGGTTACTATGTGCACTGAAGCTGTAGCTGAATGAACAATGGAGACATGTCTCTGATTATCAGGACAGTGCCTGTCTCACTGTGTGGAGGAGTGTGTACAGTCTTTAGCTGCAGGGTATGACAGCACTGCCTGTTCTGAGACCTAGGAATGTCTTTTATTCCTTACGTTCCAACTCAGATCATTTGTCCAGAAGTCCTGTACCCAGCCTCTGGTGGGCCATTGATTACTGTGGCCACTTTCTTAAGAAGGTGAAGAATGGATGCAGGAGGAGCAGGGCTAATGGTAAGTGCAGGAGCAGCATAAGACCACCACTGAGACTAAGGAGCTCCTAGCTCATGGACAGCTCACAGAGGCAGGATCTCTCAGGATGCATGGGGTCTTGCTGAAGACTGAGAGTTTATCAGTCCCAACTCCATTCACTGGAGATGAGTGAGGTATAATGTTGGAGCAAGCTCCACATGCCTCAGGACACTGACAGAATTATGCCACATGCTGTATTGGGATCTGAGGGCTGCAGGAATGGGTCCCATCCCATCCCAGTGTCTATGAAGGTGACAGCTGCTTTGAACCTGAGTGCGACTAACTCCTTCCAGGGAGCAAAAGGTAACTGTGTGAGCTGTGTACCCACAAATACATCAGGACAGTGGCTGATGCCATCTGTGGAAGATCACATTAATTCACTTTGATCTCCTCAAACAAAGTCAGTGCTGTAGCCTGGGCAGT